GTGTTAACCGAATTACGTGGTGATCTGAGCCGAAGACTTCCGAGCCCCTCACAATACTGCCCTGAGTGTCCACGCCGGTCAACAGCCCACACGTCTCACCCACAGACAGTCAGTTTCATTCACCAACTTACACACCACAGCCACCACAATCAACCAGTCACTTCATCAACCAGTCACTTCATCAACCAGTCACTTCATCAACCAGTCACTTCATCAACCAGTCACTAACTTCAATCAACCACAACAACTAGTATCTATAATATCTATGTTGCCAAACACTAGACACACAGCCACCCCCCCACTCATCTGGCCCGGCCACAGCCTCTCAGGTCACCCTTCCAAGTCACACCGTCTCCTTCAATCAAATTCTACGTCACACCACCCTCTCCAGCAGCTTCCCACGTCACACCCCCACCGTCCCACGCCACACCCCCACGTCGTGCGGTGTATTTGTGTGTGTGGTGGTGGTGGTGGGGCGGGGGGGGTAGTTGCGGCCTCCATATCCTTAAATGTGACTTTCGACCTTTTACGGTCTAATGACAACCCTTTCAATCTGGTTTTACGAGGCAGCCACGAACCAGCAGCTGATCCGAGCTGCCGGGCCATACCAGATAAAAGGGGCGAGTAAAAAAAAAAAAAAAGTGGACAAAAGCGAAGTTTTAGCTACAGAGAACAAAAGACGAAACAAATGAATGTAAAAGCTCTTACGGGACATCTCGAACAAACACTTAAATAGGTTAGTTCTTTTGAGAAATCTAATGATAATATATAAGTGATCTTTAAGCGCGCGTTCTTGGTAAATACATTAACCATCAACAATACAAAATTATGAAAGACACATCTATCTCCCATCACTAAAGGTGGGACTTGGCGAGGTTGAAAACATCGAGAAGGACCTTATGGGAGTAGTTCAAATACCCCGAGAGAATGCCAGTAAACCCCTAACAGGATTATATTACAGGTCGGAAAGGTTCTATCGTAATTGTTTAGGATTCTTATAGGGTATTGGAGGTGACCCCAAAAGACACGATAAAGATGGCCAAGACACAGAAGAAAGAGAGAGAGAGAGAGAGAGAGAGAGAGAGAGAGAGAGAGAGAGAGAGAGACCTGGTACAGTAAGAGGTCACAAAACTGGGCGTTAATAAGAGGTGAGGAGGTGGGGTCTTGAAGCAGCAGGGTGGGCGTGGCAAACCAACTAGGCTACCGTGCCATCATCTTTATAACAGCCGACACTCTCTTGCGTTAGTCTTCAACACCTCAACAACGTGTTTAGTCGACCCCCTAAAATGAATTAAGTGAGCCTCATATGAGTGATAAGGTCAGGGGACGGTACACACTGCCCCACCACGCAGATCTTTTTTTTCTCTCTCTTCCGTCATGGGAAAGGTTAGGCCCCGGGCGTTGCGGGCGGCCGGTCATGTAAGGGAGACTTGCCCTCACAGCCAATCCATTAGTGTAACGCTCGTCAGGGGCGTGATCCCTTATCTCCTGTGTGGGTCGTTCACGTTTATAATGAGACACCCGCTCGAGGGATGAGGGCACACGTGTTTTCTCTTCTTTTTATTTTGTGGACAATTCCAAATTCAGGGCAAGGCGGTGGTAAGAGCAAATGTGATCTGTAATCAAATATTTGCATAGACGAATGTGAGCTGTGATCATCCGTGTTCTAACGAGTAGCTAGAGCGGGGTGTGCAGTCGTTAACCAAATCTTAAGACAACATGAGGCGTCTTTAGTCAAAACATTACAAAAACACATATGAACTTGTAAGTTAAACCCAGTAATTCAAAGTCAACCTAAAATGCATTATATTATATTAACATTCATACAAAAACAAACGAAAAAAAAAAGTTTGGCAGTCATGACCATGGGCAGAGTGACGTGAAATTTATGGAACTGTCGTGAGATAGTCTTTAAAACTCTCAGAAAAGTGTAGATCCATAATACTTATAATACTTGAGTTTTATGGACTGTGGCTGCGGCCTTGTCTGCTTCCCTTAACCATAACCTGAAGGCCGTGAGCAGCGACTCAATAATCATACACTAAACTTTAACATAAATATAAAATCAAACAGAATAAATGAAAAACCTTCAATAAAAATACATTTTAAAGAAATTTATAACTTTAAGAGTCACGAAGGTATAAGTATACATACAGGTATACTGTACACCCGAAAATAACTAAACCAATCTGCTTGAAACATGACAAAGAAAACGCGTGCCACAGTACACTAGACGGGAGAGGAGTGTTTGCCGATAAATATTTGAGGCAGACCGTCCGGGGTACACCTTGCTCATGTTTTATCTCGTCAACAGTAGCACGAACCCTCCATCCAGCCAAGTGTCTCTGCTGCGTCATGGTGTTGCTGGGTACGCTTCTACGACAAAATCCTGCTTAATCTTAAACCTGCTGGGCCCGACTAATGGAATAAATCTAATGTAACTTAACCTGAAGCACCAGGGTGTCGGACAATATCCACTTAATCTGGTGTGAGCCCGTTTGCCACGACAAAACCTCGCTTTACCTAACCCTGGCCGGATCAATGAACAATTCCCACCTAACTTAACCAACTGGACCCGATTATTGGCCCAAAACAAAATTGATTTCACCTTGTAGGGAAAGATAAATTATGAGAGAGTTTTGCTGGTGGGACTGTCATACGTGGGAGGGCGAGAAATTGTGTGGGTGGGATTCTGGCCGCGCAGCCAAGCCAGGCCCGGGCACGTGTGGGGAGGGCGGGGTTGAGAAACACCCACTATTATTTACTGTCACGTGCTTATATTCCCCGTAAGTACGTGGTGTGTTTTCTCGGGACCCGCCCATTATTTCTCCCTGCCACTAGATGCGGTGCTTACACATATGTGAATTATTCCCAACACCTGAATTATTGTGATGACTTAGTGTGAGTCATTCCACAGAACCTCAATTCTTTCTCTTAATCATGTGAATTGTTGAAGTATTTTTTATCATGTAAATTGTTTGAGATTTTTCAAGTGGAAGTTTTATTTTTTCTCCTAATCATATGAGCTGTTGGAACATTTCTTATCATGGAAATTATTTAGCATTTTATCAATTGCATATTTTTTTTTTCCTAATCATGAGAATTAATGTAACATTTTTTTAACTGTGAATTCTTTATATTTCATGATCACAGGAACTAGTTGTCTCATCCTGGTACATGACACAAACACACAACATTCCCCCTAACATACTGTACATAACTTTCATCCACCCATTACACCTGACTCTACGTAACTACTTATCTTCACCTTAACTAACCTACCTTCACCTAAACTACACTATATCGTCCAACACACTCGGTGACCCCTTACAGTCCTCTTCCCTGAGTAACTGCGTCGTATGAGTAGGTTCATGGTTCAGCTTGTCCTTGGAGGAGGAGACGACCAACCCGATCCTTGACACTACCAAGATGTACCACACAAACGAAACTCTACACTGGCTCATCCTCTCACATATACTACAGTGAAATAAACTCTTAATATTTACCATTTATTTTCTGTGGTGGAAGTTTACGATTTAAGGCTAATTTTTTATATTATAATTACCAAAGTTGTATTACTAAGACCACCATTACCATTGACTTTTTTCTAATGATTTATATTCCAATTTGTGGTAAAACAATAAGACTAAGGCGAAAAACAAAGCAATATAAGCGATTTTTAATGATTTTTACAACCCGTGAAGTCTTGTAAACGTGACAATTCCTGATACTGACAAGGCAAAGCAAAACTCGAGTCGTATAAAACAAATTAATTACTAAAAGAAAAAATGACAAAACATACACAGATGATGAGGGTGCAGAGACACACTGTCCCTAACTAGGCTATAACAATCCTCAAGTAGCATTCTTGGACGCCACTAACATCATAACAACCTCATCAGCAGCGCCATAATCATACACTCACAACCTTGTCTAGACTGCTTCCTTACAGTCCTGCCCACAACACGGTATAAGTAACAACAAAGATCAGAAATATGTAAGAGTAGTGTACAATACTGACCTAATGGTGTGATCAACAGGACCATTTGACACCTGAAGGCAGAACCATCACTTAGAAGAACAAAAACCCTCAGTGAAATAATTGGGAAGAAAAACAAAGAAACTGTCAATAATTTCCACAGCAGGTGTTACGTCGAGGTTGTACTGAATATTGACAGTGGGAATATTAGACCATTATACAGTAGCCAAGTCTCCCAGTCTGGATGTGTGAGTCAGTGATCATGAGCAATGTGAAGGCTACTCTTGAGGGGGAAGGTCGTCGTGTAGCCTTGGAGTTATGTGTGCGTCTTGTGGGTGGCGTGTGTGTTCGTCTTGTGGGTGGCGTGCGTGTGTTCGTCTTGTGGGTGGCGTGTGTGTGCGTCTTGTGGGTGGCGTGTGTGTGTGTTCGTCTTTGTGGGTGGCGTGTGTGTGTTCGTCTTGTGGGTGGCGTGTGTGTGTGTTCGTCTTGTGGGTGGCGTGTGTGTGTTCGTCTTGTGGGTGGCGTGTGTGTGTGTTCGTCTTGTGGGTGGCGTGTGTGTTCGTCTTGTGGGTGGCGTGTGTGTTCGTCTTGTGGGTGGCGTGTGTGAACAGTATGTGCTCCAGGGGGTCGTGTGGCTAAAGTGAGGTAATGTGTTGTTGTTGTGGTGGTGGTGGTGAAGGTTGTTCCTGGAGGGTTGCCTAACCTTGGGATGCATATGAGTGGCCAAAACAACAGTTGATTTATATTACTACGGAAAAAATTGCAAAATAGTCAAATTTATAAATATCCAAACTGAAGTTAGTTTAGGTTTGTGATTTTTTCCCGTCTCGTTTTCATTTAACTTGCTACTGTTTTTCCTGTTACCTTTTCCTACAATTATATTACCAGGGCACCAATTTATCTCTGGCAATGAGGCTTTACAGTGATCAAAATTTATAAAATATAGAAGTCACTCGCTTTAGTGTATAACTCCAGAGGCCATACACTAAAAATGTGATGTCATTATGAATAACAAACTCACCTGGCGCCGATGAGAAGTGAGTCACCATCACGCTGCAACAGTCGGAAGTAGTCCGTCTCACTTTTGTTGCCCAGGAAGATCTGTGACTCCAACTCATCTGTAAATAAAGAAAATATTTGTAAAATAACTTCAGAAAAGACATATAAAAATGTGCACGGAATAAGAATTAGTTAAAACATATATTTAACAAATCACTGTGAGGTCTTAATTCCGTGTTTGTTTCACCTTTTTTGACCCCCATCTTGGTGTTCGTCTTTGGCTCCGACTTTGATGGAACTCTCGCTAATACACAAAGATTTGCTTAACACTGAGAGTAATGGCCGTCTTACTGCCCAACTCGAAACATTCCAAGAGTTTCTTAATGAAGCAACCAGAAGGATTTAGTAAGGTGAACTAAATGATATTGCGGGAGGCCAGCTGCCAGGCCTACCACATTTTATCACTCGTCTAGCCTTAGAGGAAGTGAATTTAGTATGCGGAGCGTCGCGTCACGCACGCCACGAGGAGCACAAACTCATTTGCATAATATATTCCCACTACGGGCACCAACAGCACGCAGCTATAACCTATTACACTACCCGCGGCTCCCTCAATCCCACTCCACGGTCGCCTCCAGCTACGATGAGGGAGATTAATTAATAAATAAATAAATAAATAAATAAATAAAGATGAAGACAGATGGGCGACAGAGCTACCACCCTCCTCCTGCCCACGGACTGGAGTAGCTTTACAACCTCTGTTTACCAATTATTATAATTACACACATTTAATGATGCATCTTAAACAGACGCTCAGGGGCCGCCGCAGTACACTTGCTACTGGCTCTACGTGTCACTAAAGCAGTTTTCATTAGTTCTTAAGGTAATCTCCTGAAATAATCCAGCTGCGTTAAAGCACATTCAGTTAATTAGTAATTACTAATGGTTGGCCAAAGAGGCTGGGGGATGGAGCCCAGTGCCTCACCACGAACTAGGCGCTGGATGAACCATAACCGTGATTTAGAGACTCACGGGATCACTGGAAACACAATGTTCCTTAAACCCACACATGAATATTTATCCTGCCTTCATTCATTCGGCATAAATAGTAATAACCGGAGATGAGATTCAAATGATTTCGCTCGGTGGCATTGGATTTCCACACGTCCGACAGCCGAAGTATTTTGCAAAGGTTCGACTACATCATGAAACCGGAGCTACATCAGCTCGCGCCCGAGCGCGTGTCATATCCCGTATGAGGATTTTTTTTAATGCTAATTAGGTCTGACTATCATCTATGTGGCGAAATTGAATTTTCCATCCCATCACCTCGGTGGTGTGCGTGGGAAAACCGGATCGCTGTTGTTGCCGGCCTCCACCGCCCGTCATTACTGCTGGGCTGGGCTGGGCTGGTGTTGCTTATTTTCCTTTTTTCTTGTTTCCTGACATTTATCTTGCTATTTATACGCGCGCAACATGGCCGGCCACACCACTTAACAGATACTTTTGGAACCTCCACTGACCAGACCTTTACCTCTCACTTCCGGAAAGGAGAGAATAAAAACAAACATTTTGAACACAATGACAGCATCCAGCCTAAACTAAGCGGGGCGGGAAGAGCATGTGTGTGAGGCTGATCAACACCGTGCTTATGACTCATCTGTGTCCTTTGATGACCTGGATTATGACAATGTGTCCCTCGATAATTCAACTAATTTCCCAATGGCACCTATTGTAAGAGATGAGGTTAAGTACTGGACCAAGATTACCACTGAATGACCTTCACCACAAAGATCACTACCCACCATTAACTCCTCATCTCCTCCCAGCAACAGTGACACACGTTGATTACTTCTCAGCATCATTAGTCAGTGTCCATAGGAGCCTCGACACCACCTGCACGTCTGGCTCATAAAACTGGACTATTTAAAAACAAACCATAAAATCGATGTACCTATCACTTAAGGTTCGTTTCTCTGGCCTTACAACACAATTTTTTTTTAAGCATTCATATATATCCTATTATAAATACAGGACGCTAATGAATAAACATACACGCTTATGTACTAATTCGGTCCTTCGGTGCTCGGAAAAATTTCTACTGGACAATATCCCATCACTGGTACCACAGAGAGAAATAATCAGCTCATGTCTCTTAAATGGTAAAGTCTTCAGTACCAACCACCGGCCTATTTAACTGGCGCCTCTAATACAAGATAAACTATTTAAACGACCTAGTTAACCTTTAAACTATGTTGCTTTACATCATCAATCAGTCGCTGAAATTTGTCTTACAGCTCGGACAGCTCTTGATGATGGTGGTGTATGCGACCAGGTTGTGGGTGGGTGGCTGGCTGGCCGTATGCTGCCGCCCTTGACGGCCGCCCACCTTGCTGTAAGAAGACTGTGTCCGGGTGGAGGCCAGGCTGGCTAGGTGTTCATCAGGGGGTCGTGGGAGGTGTTCAAGTTATAGAGAATTGACTGACTACGTGTTCAATTTGGAGGGACATGGGGCGGTGTTAAGTTAGAGGAGACAAGGCGAAAGTCAGGAGAAAATTGACATTATAAATAAACATGGGAACGAGAAAGAAAACTGAAAAGCCAAACTAAATAAAAGTATTCTTGCATTCAGACTCTTGACTTTATGGTAAGGAAAAAACCGACTCAACTCGCAGATAAGAAACGAAAGAAAAAATATCGTCAAGTTATTTATCACACCAGTGAATCGACGCCTACAAAGTTTCTCTTGAGGAAAACCGCCCCAAGGAAAATTTCATATATATTACCAAGACTTGCAATCAAAGAGAGAGACGCCACGAAAAAACGACCAAAAATGTAACGGAAGACGACAGCTGGAGAGAAACGAAGTTGAAAACGAGAATCTGACGGAAAATATGGAGCCGATGATGACGACTGAACAGAAAGGGAATCGTTCGTTGAAGCTGTTGAGGGTTGTGTTTACAGGAGCCCGCCGCGTCCCTCACCCGACACGCAACCCTCCCCACAATTGATTTAATATCGGTTTTCAGCACACAATTTGTGGGTCTTTAATCAGATTGGTAAAGCTGTGAAGGTCTAACCGGGTCTATTATCTGCCACGAGCCAGGACTTTACCGGAGTGCAACACGCAAGAGGTTTAAACATTACTCTGAACAGACGGTGAGCTGACGGAAGTTACGGTGCGTGTAGAGTCTGTAGACTGTTCATCTTACAGTAGGTTAGGACACGTTCATGGCAAAGAATCAAGTGCCAACACACGTCGAACATAATCACACTAACCACATACTGAAAACAAAATTCTTGCCATCAATCAATGTTAAAAAAATGAAACTAATACTTTAAAATGTGGAACTGAAACATTAAAATTATTAGATTAAACAAGTTTCTCCGCAAAAAAAAAAAATATATGCATCATCTATTTGATTCACTTAAACAGTACAACTAATATACACATTATTTATTCACCTTTGAGATATAAAGGTACACCATTAATTATATATCAAACTATAGGGAATTTTTACCATGTGGCAAGGAAATTTAAGCAAGCACAATGTTCACCCAAAGTCATGTAAAAAAAAAATTATACTTCCCTTCCTCAGACCAAGCAACACACCGGGTGGAGGGTAACATCAAACCCTCCTCAACCACCTGGCGTTAAATAAGTTCCCCCCCTCCCTCACTTCCTGTTTACTGACCTTGCCCTCCTTCCTTCACTCTCCCCCGAAATAGCTGGTGACCCCGGCTAGTGCCATGACTTCGTCTCACCCCTGGTGTCAAACCGGAGACCTTGGCACTCTATCACGTCTCCCTTACCCCGGCGCGTGATCCTGCCACACAGCTGTCCGGGGAAGCGTGACCCTCACAATGGCGCTTGTGGTGATGGGTCAGCTGCTGGGCTTGTGGGTGCCTCAACTGGTGCTCAATTTTTGGAAAAGTTTGTGAATCTAGCAAGTTTATGGAATATGAAAATAAAATCAGAGTTTTCCATTACTTATGTGACTCAAAGGCTTTGCAAAATTATTCATATTAATTAGAGAGTGAGAGAGATCGCCAAAAGCCTCCTAAATCAGTACAACAGCGTAAGACCTTCAGGCAGTGAAGTATTACACATAAAGTGATCAATTATACCACCTCCCGACGCCAGCCATAAAGCATCACCTACCAGTCTTATACCACGGTGTACTGAGATCACCTTCCCATACATTGCCTTTTGGGGGGAGTAACGAGACAAACATGCATATAATTTTCGGCAATAAATCCTGCTGGCCTTACCTGGGAACGCTTCCAGGTGTTTCAATTCCAATTCAACACTGTATACAGGTTTATCATCCACTGAGAATCATACAGCAGTGTACAGTATGATGGGTATGAGATATACTTAACGATCGACAACAGCAGCAGCCTCCTACCTGTTATTAAGCCGGAAAAAACTACACGTACACCGCGCTAGTCTTTTATCTGACTTTCAATGGCACTAAAACGACTCTTCTATGAACCGGTGTAATCCCTTTGTAATCTCTGATAACCTTGTCTGGTCCAACAAGCCTTAATGTGTACCGTCAGGCAAACATTTTCAGATAGCTATTGAATAGGCCTTCTGTAGTAGCAAGTCATCTCTGTGTAGTTTGCGATGAACCTTGTGTAGTCCTTGACCACACTGGCGTAGGTGTGTGTAGACAGGGGATGTAGGTGTGTGTAGAGGTGGTTGGGGGTATGTGTAGGGACGTGTAACAGCAGGCGCTACAAGTGTCGACCATGTCCCCGCAGCCTCCAGTGTCGGTCCAGTCCGAGATCTTCATTTTCTACTCTACCTCCTAATGAGGGTGGGTGTCTGCCTGGACCACAAGAGTATGGCACTAGCTTCTGATGCCTCCCCCCCTCCCCCCTACAATACATCACACAATTCCATTTTCTCATATCATTCGAATTCCAGAAACCTTCCTATCTCCAAGGACATTAGTGTATAGTTAAGAAAGCGTAAAGTATAATGAGCAAGTCCAACAAGGGGAGGACAAAATATGAATATATCAAGGGAGGGAGAGTGTTAATATACAAGAGAGGGTAGGCGAGGGTGTAGAGGCGGCTCAAGGACCCAGGTGGGCATGATATAGTAAGCTTGGGGCGTATATAATGGTATACAACAGCGTGAACGTGGGCGAGGAAGGCAGCAAGGAACGGGTCAGGTGGGGAAAGATTTAGAACACATGAAATTATGGATGAGCAAAGAAAAGAATAAGAGTTACAAAACATTGTGGTCAAAATATTTATCAAGAAATTATTGAGTTGACTGGTTAACGTGAGCGTCGGTCCTCCTCGTACACACAGGCGTGGAAACTGTTAAAGAGACCTGGGAATGGGACTGGTACACCCTGATGATGGGAAATGTGGACGACTAAGAGAGACATGGGAGGTAAGGTGGAGAGACAGGTGTATGGGGGGAGGCAGGTGTTTGAGAATGTGGACAGGTGTGTATGGGAGGAGGGAAGAGTCTACCGCTCCTACTAGCAGGATCAAGTTACCTGTGCCACACCTTGCCACTAACCTTGGACAGTCATGCTCGCACACAATTACCAACACAGACTTACGGCCAGCGGAGCAGACCCGTTCCTCCTCCACCCTGTAATCACTGTGGCGGCATAAACAACAACGCTCCCAGCTTTATCAATTGACCTCTGAGGTACAGACTAATCCCCAGCAACAATTAAAGATGTCCTCATAAAGTAAGTCGGTATCGCTTACAGGCCGGATTTATACACACCCAGTCAGCGAGATACGCCACTCTGAAAATGCCCTACAGAGCTGGGTGTCCCCCCCCCCATGTAATGTGCGGTAACTTGGAGCATCACAAGACGCCAATGATTCAGATTAATTAATATTTTTTGCGGCAATATCAAAGTGACGTATGAGAGGGTAAGATACGGCAGCAGATAGAGGATGAAGGGTTATCTGTGAGGCGTTTCGACAGTGCCCCCCCACTCAGTCACCAGGACGCGTGTTAAGTTGACGTTTGTACTGTCGTGTCAATGAGCACTGACGGAGTGATCGTTGGAACACGCACACACACTAGAACCAAAAAATCCTAATTACCCTCAACCATATTGCTTCCTGGTCTTTTATCCTTACCTCTTAATCAAGCAAAATATACAACCATTCTTGGGTTTCTCAAAGGCCATGACAATAAAAAACTATAACCCATTATTAACTCACCCACCGAGAAGCTACTGACTAGAGATAACGTGAACCACCAGTTGACAGTGACCGGAGCCTTTCCCTAATTTTCACATCCACGGAAATCCTCAAGTACAGGCCAGCCAAGTACACGACCTACTATGGTTATGATGATATACAAATAAAACAGTATACAATCAAAGGACCATTAGCCTAAATAACGGAACGACTTTATTACAATATCAAAAGAAGTGATTACCGAATAATAGTTGTGTTCCCATTTATCTTGGTCGACCACCCGACATAAACTACTGCAGATTGACGATCAACCTAAAGTCTGGATATTTATATACCCAAAATACCCCATCGTCCCGGAGAGGACTTGTAATTTTCTGCATTGTTAAGTTTTTGAATCAAATACCAGCACATCTTAAAGCGCCATTGTATAAACTACTCAGGGATAATACTGACTATAACGAGCCAAGTAAGAACCATTAGTGTTGTCAAGCAATATATTGAGTTGTGACACACACACACACACACACACACAAGACAACTGCACTGCGCCTCATGGACCCAGAGAGCAGCGAGGGCGAGTGATGGGTTGGTCTGCACCGCACAAGGCTGCACTAACCCACGAAATTACTATATCTCTACGACCACTTGATTCCACATATAACAAGACGGCGCCAACTTCTGCCCATTTACTGTCTACAAATGCAGTTCTGATATTCCATTTGGGTTTTATTTATGTTCCCAGAGAGTAATAAACCATATGTGGCGGCCTGGAAGAGTTATTGAATATATAATACACCGGATGAAACCTTTTGTTGGTTACTCTTCGGCGAATATGAAGATCGTAAACATGAATCTAATATACCACCAAGACGGTCATAGTATTCATTATAAATCCTTAAGGCCAAAAATCTCGTGGCTTCACCTACAAACAAGAGAGTTAAGAGTGAGGGTGGTATGACAGCCATTACCCCCAGTCCTCTCTTAACCAGGGGTCACAGCTGGGGACAAGAGGGGCAGATCTCGACGCCTTAAAACTACCAGGAACGACCCCCCCCCCCCCTTCCATCCTCTGCTGTATCTCAGTGTAATCTGTTTCACTTCAGTGCAATTAAATTGCCATTCTCAAAGGGTCCCCAAAGGGTTAAGTCATAATTCCCCGAAGTTAATATATTTCATCAGCATCACTCACTCACTCACCACCACCACCACCACCACCACCACATATACTAATAACATCAACTTCTTGATTACAGGTGGTATTCAGCCCTCGCTCATTGTGTTACCAAGAGAAATGGTAAATAACATTCTTACCGTGTGTTTCAATCTCGACGGTTCCAGTGTGTGTGTGTGTGTGTGTGTGTGTGTGTGTTGCGCAGCTTCCACAAATAAGATTAACAAGGAATGGTCGACCGAGGCGCGAAGCTGTAGCCTTCCTTTATCCTGCAGGACCCAGTGGGAGGCCGCGGCTACCTCCCCAGGGGTCCGTCTGTTCCTGCTCCTCACCTACCCCCCACCCCATCACCTACCCACGGCCCCATTTATCCCACCTACCTAACCTAATCAGTATCCTGGCCAGCTCCTACACCAACCCCAGCCTGCCTCGCATCCCCACCTATCCTATCCATCAACATCCATGACTAATATTTCATCCCAGGACTCAGGAGCGGCCACGACCAGCCTCCGGCAGCAGGGTAGTAGTGGGTCCAGGTGGCCGCCCCCGCCCTGCATGACCATCATGAAACACGGGTTCTGGACGCTGGCCATCACGCGTCCTGATAAAACACGCTAACAGACGGGCGACGCTGCGGGGATTACATACACCTCCTGCTGCTTGATGGGGGAAGTTTACTGGAGGGTGTGGTGGCTGGCTGGTGAGAGTGAGGTTGAAGGTGGGTGACGAAGGCGTTGATGGGGAGCTTACTGAAGGTAGGAAGGGTGTGGTAGCTAGCTGGGGTCGGCTAAGGGAAGTTTGGGGTCTAGAGTGGGAGACAAATGCATAGAGGTTGACGGTGGCGTTACTAGGCTGAGGGGAATAAGAGACTCCAAATGACGGTACAGGACTTATCTTAGACGTACAGTGAGAGTGTTGCGGGTACTAATGGATGTATGAGGAACATAATTCTAAGGCAGTGACGATTATCGTATTATCAGGTAATCCAAAAGAACATTATGTAAGGTAACTGAGCTAACTATAGTTGCTTGCGGAGGTTGCTAGCGTGTAGTGATGCACGAGGGAGATAACTGTGGTTAGCAAGATTGTGAAGGGGTCAACCGAAATCACCCGCTGATGAGTTAGTGGATGTTGAGTGTACATGTAGGGACGATACACTGTGTTCTTTATGGGCCATAGAGCCACGGGTGTTGGGGCGCTGTGTAGTCTCATCCAAGGAACATACAGACGAAGCCATGTGTCCTCCTCAGCAGCAGCAGTGGACAAAGAATAACAACAGGAAAGGGGGCGATAAAAGGGGAAAGAAAAACACTGGAAGACGTATTTACGGAGGTCACAGTAGGCAAAGGAACTACTGGAGTCGTAGTAGCAGATGCAGGTCACAAAGAGAAGGTCCTTGCAGGTCGCAACAGTAAGAACGAGCATGATTAGGTCAAATGAGCAACACGAACTTAATAAAACAATTCACATCAGCAAAAGTCTAGTACATAAACAAGCAGGTCAGATACAAATTCCTAGTAGAAACAAGTCGGTGCTCAGAGAATAGCAGAAACTATGCCAAAGTAACAAAAGAAGAGCAGCAGGGCACAGCCAGAGCAAAGACAGCAACAGCAGCGGTCACCACGCGCCAAGATACCATCACCGCCTCCCATCCACAATGCATCTTCTGTGGTAGAATATTGAACCATGTTATCTGTGAGGCCATCGGCAGGTACATGAGCTTGGCATTCACGTCCTACACCCAGCCACATAATTCAGCCTAATAAACCTCTTGAGTCCTGGTTCTCAAAGGTTTGGATTTCTTACCGGTCTCTCTGGCTCACTCAAGGATAAAACTCCCGGTCAAAATGACATTAATATTCCACACTAAGATTCTCCTACACCCCTGTCCTTATTCTCTTCTAAGGGGTAATAATGATCGTGCGAATATTCGATAACACGGACCCTGGTATCTTGCTGAAAGTTGACGCAGTAAGTTGAACAAGATTTTTACCTTCACGCCCTTCGAGTAAACTATACAGGTGAATGGAGAAACCCAAGGCACCAGGAAGGAAGGCCCCAAGGCTCAAGCAGTACGGCCGAGGGAGTCCAACGCCTTAAACAACAAAAACAACGAATTTTGTAGTTGTTGTTGCAGCAATTAGATGTGTACAAATATCAGTTGTATTCTGAGTAAAATCCTATTATAAAAAGTTCCAATGAATAAAATCTCACCAAAATAACAAAGGTTAGCTTGGCGAGCTCTAATCCTGCCTTTGTCACAGCATTATTTGGGCTGTGGGATTTCGTCTTGGGGAAAAATTATTTTGGAGTATTTCCCCGGTGATGGATTTTACCCGCGCACGGTGCCCGAGGTACATACAGATTAAACTAACAAAGGATATTTAATTTCCATGATACGAGAAGCAACGTCAGAGGGGCGGGGTCACTTATGGTGGAGGAGGAGAAAGGGGTGGTGTGGTGGTGCAGGTATACGCCGCCTTGAGAGCCGGGGTCAGGTAGGGTCAGGCACAAGGCAAGCACCTACGGGCTATAAATGTTAGGGGGTAAAAGCTGGAGAGTGGGCGGGCATCACTGTGGGCAGGTGGCAGCAGCTACAGCCTAGTGTTGTACCGTGATGACAAGCACCACGGAGGACAGTGAATAATTACCCGACTGGTTAACCTTTTCCTTGTTTGAGGAAGTATTCTGGAAAACTCATGAGGAAACGCAGAAAGAAAACAGAATTACATAATGCAGTTAATAGAAAATAAATATCCATGCATCAACAAAATAGAAGTACTGTAGACAGGCAAGCAGGAGTAGGCAGCAAAAGCAGGAGTAGGCAGCAAAAGCAGGAGTAGGCAGCAAAAGCAGGGGCCCCCAACAGTGCAGGCGGACCAACAAAGCGCGGCGATAAAGGCAGGCAAAACAAAGTTTAGGTTTTGTTCCGCCTGGTGATTACCGTGAGTGAGATCATCGACCAATTGGCTGCACCTCGCACAAACCACCTGCAAATGACGATAAAAGCGGCCAATGGAGGCGATAATGGCCAGCGGCTACACTTACACTTTTTCTGTCGCTGAATACGCTTGAAGGGGTGTGACGTCACGTTCGCAAGATACCATCACAACACCAAAAGCATTTTAAGTAGTTTAAGCTGTGTGGCGGTGACGTACACTGCTCTCGTAGATAAAAACATAATGGATACAGAGTTTA